TCAACATATATATAGACTTTATATATATACACACACACTAGTGTGCATCCCGTGCAAAGCACGGCCTTTATTTTTTTATTTCCACTACAGTAATTCTATATTCAGTTTTGTAAGTGCTACAGTAACATTTTAAAATGATACAGTACCTCGTATGCGCTACAGCAATAATGCTACAGTAATGTTTTTAAACGTTACAGTCCCTCATGTGCTACAATAAAATGCTACAGTATTTATTGTAACATGAATAGCTTATCTTGGATCCTCCTGTTAGTAATACAGTAACAATGCTACAGTACTTTACTGTAACGTGAATAGTGAATCTTGAATCCTCCCATTATTATTATATATATATACATATGTGTGTGTAGAGAGAGAGAGCGCAAAGCTCCTATAAACTTAAGTGGATAGGAACTATTTATCCACCAATTTTCTTATTCATTGATTTTGTATTGAGATTTGTGCTAACATGTGATACAAATCAAGAACAACCCAACTTGGACTCTATCCCTTTCATCCACTTTGTCGAGAATAAATAGATGAATGACAGGAGTCACCCCAGTGAACAAATAACCAGGACTGTTGGAAAATGTTGGTGCTCTGTATGTGTTTTCCTGTGTTGGGTTAAAATAAGCAAGTAATGTGTGTTTCTGGTTGCATGTTGTTGGTAATGATATCGGCGTGTAGTTCGTGTTAAGATACAATGAGGCTCTAATCTAGGCATCTTTCAATAGATGGAAAAGGAGAATGTATTCTCTTGATAACGATAATAAAACATCAGCATATGATGAATGCGTGCATACACAACGAGCAAAGCAAACAAGTCCATTCACTTTCAGATATAAAATTTCAGGTTCAGATATGACAGGTATTACTGTATTAGTTAATTAATCCTCATCTGTTATAGAAGGACACTACTAAACATGGGAGACTTTTTTCCTTTCAATTCATGAAGTTATCATGACAAAAATGATCAAACTGTTAAAGATTACTTTCAATAGTTTAGAAACAGCTCTCACCATTCACAAAAGTGATTGCTCCAAATATGCTTACAGCATCATATTGAAAATATTCATGCTGATATTTAGTCTGAAGAATGAGCATCAGTGTACCAATATACACTTACAAATATATAGTTTAAGGTGATGAATCAAAATTTTAAATTCATTATTCAGCGGCCATTTCATGCATACTTCCACGAGTACTTGTATAATATCAAACAAATATAATTGAAAAAAAGAATTACAGATTAAAGTAACTAATAAGCATGCAAACAATTCAATTTTTAAAATGATAATAAGGGAGACCACCAATGAGGATTCAAAATAACAAATTTCTGATGGCATGACAAATTTTCTTGCCAACTGAAACATGTTTTCCCATGTATAATAATTGCTATAGTTTTTTTAGACCTCATGATATTGACAGATAAGTAAATTGATTCCATTTATTCATGTAACTAAGAAATTAATCATCTTATTTTTTACCTTTTACATGTAAATCTTTGTTCTAAATTAAATAGTTAGATCTGAAAGTATTTCTTTTCTCTCACAACACTTTTGTTGATAAAGCCAGAAGAGAAAATTCTAATTAATAAGTTGTTTGTGCCATAAGAAAAGGCTTACTGTCTAATTTCTAGCTAATAACTCAATTTCTTTTCCTGTTGATCACTTAATGAGCCCACTACTAAATGTTGAAAGCAATGAAGACTGCTTCAAAAGACATTATTAGTTGCCTCAAAACTCAAAACACCTCAAAAAACCGAACAAACAAAGAGAATACCTTAGTAAATGCTTCTTTAAGAGAAAATGACAATTTCGAAGTTATGTTTGAAAGTTTTTGTTATTCTCCAAACTGACAGAACCAGTGCTTAGCGTTCGATAACAACAATTAGGCTGCTACCTGTCTACAGCTTTAAGAAAAGAAAAAAGGCAGAAGGTCTACTGCTCAAGGTTTTATTAGTCAAAAGGAAAAATAAAATAAACAATGCCATAAGGCAGGTGGATTTTCCCTTGTGAAAAAAGCCACCATCTCTAATTGTGATAAGTGAATTACAGGAGCAAGCTATTATGTCCAATGACCAAATGAAAAGAGTGGTTAAAGCCAAAACAACCCAACTCAGATCAAATCTCTTCCATAAGGCACTTTAAAGAATATGTTATGATAATTTCTTTTAGGAAATTTGCTATTTATAGTTAACCATATCTGATGGTGAAATAAATGCTAAGAGAGAATTTTGAGTTTTGAATGTGATGCTATGAAAGTTCAGAAGCTAGAGATCATGGTAATTTGTTTCTTTGTGTAGTGAAATTTTGTGATTTTAATTGTTTGTCCGGTTATGATTAGTGATACTTTTTTTTTTTTGAAGTAAAATAGGATAAGATGCCCTATCATTGTATAAATAAGAAGCTAAAAGTATTTACATATATTACATCTAGTTGTGATTTAACGATAGATCCAAATTTGGTAAAGGAGAGGACCTATGTCGTCACTCTACTCAATAGAGGAGCAAAGTAAAATCACCCATAGATATACAAAAGAATATACAAAAATGCTTATAGCTTACCACCCACCACAACGCTAAGTTTAGCACACCAAAAACTAGAAGATAGTCTGTTAGGGGACACTATGTGTGCACAAAAACCCAAAAAAAACTGTCAATCTCCAAAGCTGATGATAAACCTAATTGTTGCCTGCTCCTCTGTTGCTATCTTTGCTTGAGGCGATCAGGTCAGAAATCCCCCTTTCCCGAACAATAGCCTTGAGCTTAAGAGCTCGTTTTGAGGTTGTCGAACCTGTCTAGAAAGTGAGGTAGTAAGCTATATTGGATGTCATATGATGATGATTAGGCATGGTTCAATTGAATATGAGATTATTATGAGTAGTCCATATAACCCAGCAGATGGTAGGGAATACAACTCTCCACAGAAGCCTCACGGTAGGTGCAATGTCTTTGTTAAGACACATATCGAAGCAATGGTGAATGGATATAAGGGGAGCGTGTATACCGTTGATGGGGAGAAAAATGTCCCAGATCTGTAGCCATCTGACAGAGAATGAAGAGGTGGTTGTGGGATTCTGTGTCGCTGGAACAGAAGGAGCAGGATGGGTTACCAGACCACCCTTTAGCAATGAGCCTGTCCTTGGTATTAAGTTTGTCCATAGAGAGAATCCACGTGAAGGATTTAACCCTGCTAGGGAGAGGGTTGTGCCAAACAATAGAATGATAAGGGTTGCGGGTACCTCCATCTGAGATGAAGGTGAAAAAGGAATTCAAGGTGAAGCTACCCGAGCAGGTCAAGAACCAAATAACTTCATCTCTAACAGGGATAGGGAAGAGATTAGTGATACATTAGATTTGATGTTTACTTATATGACGTGATTTGTTGGTGGACACTGAATGTTACCTTTTTCATAATTTATTGATGTTTAGTGTAAATGTCGTAGTTTCGTTTTTATCATGTTGCCAGATCATCAATTTTAGCTTTACAATAACAACAACAATAACCAAGCCTTTATCCCAAATGTTTGGGGTTGGCTATATGAATCTTATTTTTCCATTCCATTCAATCATCTCCTCCGTTAAGTTAGTCTTAATCATATCCTTCTTAATTGCTTCTAATAAAGTCACTCTAGGTCTATCTCTAGATCTCCTAACTCCATTAACAACAAAACTCCGTTAAGAGGTCTCCGTTGTACATGACCAACCCATCTTAATCTATTCTCTTATTTTATCCTCGATAGGCGTAATCTCTAATTTACTACGGATACACTTATTTCTTATCCTATCTTTTAATGTATACCCACAAGACCATAGGTTTACACCAAGAGAATTTTGCGACAGGTAGTGTTGTTTTTCAGCACTACCTCTCCCAAGCCAGGATAAAAGTGGGTTGTGTTAGGTACCGGACAGCCAGTATAAAACCTAGTCGGATCTACATGAAAAATAAATTATATTATATACTTGTTGAGGCGTCCCCACCGCGATGCGTTGCATCGGTTCCACCCCGATGCAATGATAAGCAAGGGTGGTTTGCTATGGTGTCCCCCAGAAGCGACGCATTACAATTACATCGATGTCACCCCGGTGTATTGACAAGTAAGCAATGGTGTTCTAAGAATATATAATCTTCTAACAAGTTACCTAATAGTATAAGGCATAGACTAGAACGGTCTAAAAAGGAAAAATGGTAGGAGGCTTTTATAAGAAAATAGAATTAGATTAGCTACTTGAAACATAGGTACACTTACCAGAAAGACGATGGAATTAATGGATGTCTTGATTAGAAGAAAGATAAATATAATTTGTTTATAAAAAACTAAACGGATAGGTGAGATATCTATAGAAATTGAAAAGACCGGGTATAAACTTTGGTACACTGGAAAAGAGAAGAATATGAATGGAGTGGGAGTTCTTATAGATAATATAATAAACAAAAGTGTTGTAGAGGTGAGAAGAGTTGGAGATAGAATAATACTAATAAAAGTTATTTTAGGTGTGGAGGGTTATTAATATTATTAGTACTTGTTGAAATTTAATTTGTATGAACCCAAACAAAGAAGCAAACCACCCTTGCTTTTATATATATATATATGCGTGCATGTGTGTAGTATTGACCTTAACCACCCATTGTTTGCTAGCGGATGACAGTTTTTTCCTTAACCACCCATTGTTTGCTAGCGGATGACAGTTTTTTCCCCCATAAAAGAAGCTCCGCCTATGTTTGTGCTTTTGGTTTATTTTGTTTTTCATTTTGACTAACAAAATCTTGAGATAGTACTCTATTGAACCTTAGGTTATATATGTGTATAGGGGTATTGACCTTAACCACCCATTATTTACTATCCGATGACAGTTTTTTCCCCACAAAAGAAGCTCCGCCTATGCCTGTGCTTGTTCAAAAGCTCCTGTCATTCATTTAGAGCTTTTCAAATTGATTAAATGCATACCGCGTCCTTATTTGACAACTAAATTTTCCTTTCTTATAGGTTTCAAGCTGCTTGCAAACAAATCCCAAAATAATTTCATCTGTTCTTCATGGGCCTTACTGGTCATCATCAACAAATAAGGAGCCAATCCATCTCCTTTCAAATCCTATTAGATGATAAGACTGAAAGTTGCCGAATGTTGTTTAAATTTCTGGAACAGGGCTCTGAAGCGGTCATTTTCTCATGTTCAGAAGTTAGAAGTGTCCATGGGATTAGGTAAGTATTACTTTACCTCATAGTTTTTAAAGTCTCTTTATTACATGTCTCATGCATTATTCTTTTTTAAACAGGAATTCGTTGGCGAAGAAAGGATTAGTAAAGGAGTTGTTGAAGAGGTGAATGTGACATTTTAAAAGAAAGAGAAAACCATCTCGACGCCATTCTCGTCCTGTACATCTGATTTGCCGCGATGGGATGGCTCGGGCTGGTCGTTGTCACCGTCCTTCAGAGCATGATCCTTAAATCCGAAGTAGGAGAAGGTGTGGCGCTTATTTACTTTTGCGGGCTCGGGATTTGAGGGGTTTTCCCGTGTGGGCTCAGGATTTGAGGGGCTCGAGAGGATGCTAGCTGAGGCTACGAGATCAGCAGGGTAAGATTCACTGTTGTCGCTCATATCTTCTTTTGGATTTCAAGAGAGCTCTTGGACTGAGGTAGGCTTCAGTACCGAGAGGACTTAGTTGTACCATTTTATAATAGTAGTCGGCGCCTGCTTGTCGACAACACTGCCCCGTCAAAGGTTGCTCGCCGAGCCCACTGCCACAGTTTGTCGCCGAGGCATAGAGCGACAATCTGTTGTCGGCAAGAGCTGGGTAGATTACTGTAGCAAGTGCATATAAAGACAAACCTTGTTTATTAGGCAATTAAGTTATGCTCATCTTACATCTTGTTTTCATAATATTTATTTGTAACGATGTCAGTTTAATTTAACTGCTAAATATATGTTAAATTTTTTTATTGTCATCTAATATGATAATTAATTTAGAATATTAAAATATTTATTAATTATAAGGAGACATAATTTTAATACGATCTTATCTGTATTTATTTTACCCATGTATATGAATTAATTAGTTTCAGTAACAAGCATGTAGATATTGCTTCATAGACCACATGCTTTATGATAAGAATCTCTGGCTTTAATTGCACCTGCTAAAGTAATCTGCCTAACTCTATCGACAACAGACTGTCGCAATGCCTCTGTGACAGACTGTGGCTCTGGACTGGACAAGCAGCCTTTGACGGTGGCTGTCGTTGACAGGTAGGTGTCGGCTACTTGTATAAAATGGCACAACCAAATCCTCTCAGTACTGAAGCCTACCTCAACCTTAGAGCTCTCTTGAAATCTAAAAGAAGACATGAGCGACAGTGGTGAATCTTACCCTGTTGATCTCGTAGCCTCAGCTAGCATCCTCTCGAGCCCCTCAAATCCCGAGCCCTCACCAAAATATCCCTCAAATCTCGAGCCCGCAAAAGCATCAGCTAGCATCCTCTCGAGCCCCTCAAATCCTGAGCCCGCAAAAGTATCAACTAGCATCCTCTCGAGCCCCTCAAATCCTGAGCCCCCACCAAAAAATCCTTCAAATCCCGAGTCCGCAAAAGCAAACAAGCTTTTGCCTAATAAAGAAGGTTTGTCTTTATATGCACCTGCTACAGTATTCTACCCAGCTTTGTCGATCGATTCAAAGCCGGGGGTTTCCGCGCATCGAACCCCTCACTAGGCACCTTCGTAGCCTCTGCCCTCTCCACCGAAACCCTCATCGGAGATCGTAGGTATTCATGGTCCCAATCAGCCGCGCCACACAGCAGAGCCAGCTGCCCACATTCGGGTCGTTTCAGCGGACTCCAAAGGCAGGATCTTGTCTCCCAGCCGGATGCTGCTTGCTAACGTCGGCCCTCGCCTCCGCCGCCGAAAATAGGGCTGGGTTTCATGTCAGGCCTGTTGATCTTCAAACGGGGTAGGTAGGGCCCATCGATGCGAGGCCCGAGGTGGAAGGCGATGTGTGCGCGGCGGCTGGAGCCCATGATGGAGAACGTTGCGAGAAGTCGCGCGTAAGCTCCGAGCTAGGGGCGGTGGGGCTGAAGGCCTGGTCGCGGAGGAAGAGGAGGGCATTGACGGACGTCGTCGTAGGCGACGAGGAGGCGGTGCTTGGGGGCGAAGAGGTAAGGCGACGGAGGCGGCCAACGGCGGGGATGTGGGCAGAGCGGGGCGGAGGAGGGGGGACAAGGCGGGGGGCGGGCGAGAAGAGGAACGAAAGCTGCCTCCGTGGAAGTAGAGGACGACGGGGGAGCTAAGGCTAGGGTTAGGGTTTGAGAAGGTAGAGGCGGAGGGAGGTGTTGTAGGCTGGTTAAGGGGGGTGTCCCAGGAGAGGGTGTGGCGGTGGCGGGGGGGTGGAGGGGGATGAGGGGCATCTTAGCGCGGCGGGAGAGGGATCCATCGGGGTTGAGAGAGACCTGGAGGTGCTCGTACGAATCCATCGCCAATGATACGGTTGGAGGAGATGAAGAATGGGAGGTTATGGTGGGCGTCAAAGGGAAAGGGTAATATAGTAATTCTGTAGTTGTGAAGTTCTTGGGGAGGCAATTACTTCAGAAAATTTGTTAGTGTAGTTGGAAAATATGCAGCTTCTTGATTGTTAAATGCATGCTAAAACAAACTCATTACTAATGAGCCAATAGCAATTTCTAAAACTATGGCTCTGCAAAAGTGAATGAAAAATGGATGCTTGAGGAAGATTAGAACAAGTGTTAAAAGCTGTTACATATGTACCATATTTTCACAAAGAAATTTGTCGTTTTATGTGGTTTAATTGAATTTGGATATAACTGATCAACTCCATAAAAGGCACAGTTCTTTATTAAAATATTAAAGCTTTGGATATTAATTGAACTTCGTTGGAGAGCTTTGGAAACACCCCTAACTAATAAAAATAGTGCACAGGAAGAACTGATATTTAAGTTTTTTGGCTGTTTTCCCTCAATGATCAAGTGAAGAACTGACAAACTGATGTTGTTGAGCTTCTTAAAGAGAAATTAAGTTTTTTGTTTCAGTATCAAGCATGTAGATATTGCTCCATAGACCACATGCTTTGTGATAAGAATCTCTGGCTTTAATTGGTTGGGTTCTCTTCAGAAGAATTGGAAATGGTAAAGAGTTGTGTTTTAGCAGTCTTTTAGGGTAATTTAGGAGGTAATTTGCAAGGTTGAAGTTCTTAGTTATGTTCAAACTATTTTGGTCGTTAGTTCTGGACCAGGTTCTCTATAATGATGGGTATGAGGGGTTTTTTTGACATCTACTATGTAACATAAGTTTTGATGTCTTAGTTTACTGTGGAGTTGGGCTTCCAAGGAGGTTCCTACGCTACAACTTCTTCATTTTTTTCATAGAAAGATGTTTCTGGTAAAAGTAATTTCCATTTTGAGGTGAAATGAGTTTGCGTTGTTTGGATGTACAATTATACGCACAAAAGAGAGACTAAGTTATCTAGTTTTTAGTATTTAATTTTTTGGGATGTTTTTAGATATAGGAACATATTTTCCCTGAAGTAGTAATTTATATTATGGTGGTATTTGGCGCAAAGAGGTTGTGTCCTCTTTTTTAGACGCCTAATGCATTAGTTGCAATTTATTTATGATAATCTTAAGTATCTTATGATAAGGCATATTTTGGTTACATATCATTATTTCATTTAAGGTTTGTCATTTAACCCATCAGATTAATTACGTTCTTATATAGATAGATTTTAATTTTTGGATTTCACTAAAAGTTACTTACAGAAACGAATCTGGGCTTATAAATTTGAAGTTCGGCAATCTTTTAAATGGTTTGGATAATATTGTATGAATATTAATATAATTTATCAAAAATTATATAATATAAAAAACTAATTAATTCATATACATGGGTAAAATAAATACAGTTAAGATCGTACTAAAATTATGTCTTCTTATAATTGATAAATATTTTAATATTCTAAATTAATTATCATATTAATCGACAATAAAAAATTCAACATATATTTAGCAGTTAAATTAAGCCGACGTCGTTACAAATAAATATTAAGAAAACAAGATGCAAGATGAGCGTAACTAAATTGCCTAATAAAGAAGGTTTGTCTTTATATGCACATGCTTCAATAATCTGCCCAGCTATGTCGACAACAGACTGTCGCTCTGTGCCTCGGCGACAGACTATGGCTCTGGGCTCGGCGAGCAGCCTTTGACGAGGCTGTGTCGTCAACAGGTAGGCGTCACCTACTATTATAAAATGGCACAACCAAGTCCTCTCGGTACTGAAGCCTACCTCAGCCCTAGAGCTCTCTTGAAATCCAAAAGAAGATATGAGCGACAACGGAGATTCTTACCCTGCTAATCTCGTAGCCTCAGCTAGCATCCTCTCGAGCCCCTCAAATCCTGAGCCCACACGAGAAAACCCCTCAAATCCCAAGCCCGCAAAAGCAAACAAGCGCCACGCCTTTTCCTGCTTCGGATTTAAGAATTATGCTCTGAAGGACAATGAAAACGACCAGCCCGAGTCGTCCCATCGCGGCAAATCATATGTGCAGGACGAGAATGACGTCGAGATGATTTTCTTCTCTTTTTAAGTTTAACTTTTTTGTTTATATATATAACGTTAATGTTTTTGCTTTATATTGTGAAGGGATAGTGGAGACCTAGGAAGTCAGCTGATAGTGACAATCGCCCTGGCACTGAGGAGAACCACGAGGATAGGGGTATTTTTCAATAGTTCCTCTGGGGAAATAGGCAAAACCATGTTGCTACGTTAGAAAAGCCCAACCCCGGGTTAAACGGCGACGACAACGGTGGCGGAGACGCTAGGGGCAATGTCCAAGTAAGCTATTTTCTTTTTAAAATTTCTTTTCCTTTTAAGTTTAGGTTTTTCTAATAATATTTCATTTTGTTTTTCAATCAAGGGTGAACCGTTGAGGTTGAAAACTCCAAGAGTAATGTTTTATTCATTTTTTGTTTGTTCAACAGCCATCAAGGTGGGGTCTGGACAGGAACCAGAACCATTTGTTCTGACCGTTGTACTCGCAAATGGGGTTGTGTTCGTTCTCTCGGTTGCATTGGTGGTTGCACTGGAGTTTCTTATCATCTCCAAGGTCGTCATGACCGCCCTAACTCTTGTGTTGGGGGGAGCAATTATTGCTCTCGGCCTAATCGTCACCTATGTCGAGGCACTGCTTTGCAAGGATAATGCTCCCCCTTTCACTCCCGCCCCCTCCCACGCTCCCATTTTCCCACCCCGCCCATTTAGTGGGTAAATGAGTAACATAAGCCACTAATTTACAGCCTCATCATGGGCTATTAGTTATTGTTAGGGTTGAGAGTTAAAAGAGTGCCACTAATTTACAGCCTCATCATGGGCTTAGTTATTATCAGGGTTTAGAGTTAATAGAGTGCTCCACTGTGTTCATCTTTTTTTAAGAGAGTTTTTGTAGTTTTTTCCTTTCTTTTCTTAGAGAATATTTTGTTATTGTTTTTTCTTCTTTTTCTATTAATGCAATGCTTTTTAGATATATATATTAATGTTTAGCTCTGATCTGAGAGTGGTCAACGAAATTCCAAGAGGCTCATCATTCATTAATAATGATTTAAAATAGATTTAAAATAGAACTATGGATTTTGAGAGTGGTCAATGAAATTCCTAATGATTTAAAATAGATTTAAAATAGAACTATGGATTTTGAGAGTGGTCAATGAAATTCCAAGAGGCTCATTCTTGATTAATACAGATGCAACTGATTTGCTAACCCGCTTTTGAATTTGTAAAAAAAAATCTGTTTTGCTAAATTATCAAATCATTTTGGCAAGTTCAAGCACAGCTTGGACTTGATCGATACGTACCACACTTAGTTGCCTTGCGGGGCTATTGGAGAAGGTGGAGTAAGCTAGATTTTGGAGTGAAGGATTTCTACGCAAATGATTTGCATCTGTATTAACCAAGATGATTTGGTAATTTAGCAAACCACATTTTTTTTCTTTTTTACAAATTCAAAAGTGGGTTAGCAAATCAATTGCATCTGTATTAACCAAGGACGAGCCTCTTGGAATTTCATTGACCACTCTCAAAATCCATAGTTCTATTTTAAATCTATTTTAAATCATTATTAATGAAGGATGAGCCTATTGGAATTTCATTGACCACTCTCAGATCAGAGCTAAGCATTAGTATATATATCTAAAAAGCATTGCATTAATAGAAAAAGTAAGAAAAACAACAAAATACTCTCCAAGAAAAGAAAGGAAAAAGCTACAAAAACTCTCTTAAAAAAAGGAACACATTGGAGCACTCTCTTAACTCTAAACCCTAGTAATAACCAAGCTCGTGATGAGGCTGTAAATTAGTGGCACTCTTTTAGCTCTCAACCCTAACAATAACTAAGCCCATGATGAGGCTGTAAATTAGTAGCTTATGTTACTCATTTACCCACTAAATGGGCGGGGTGGGAAAATGGGAGCGTGGGAGGGGCGGGAGCGGAAGGGGGAGCATTACCCTTGCAAAGCAGTGCCTCAACATAGGTGATGATTAGGCCGAGAGCAATAATTGCTCCCCCAACACAAGAGTTAAGAAACTCCAGTGCAACCACCAATGCAACCGAGAGAACGAACACAACCCCATTTGCGAGTACAACGGTCAGAACACTAGTTTTGTTTCATATCCAGATCCCAACCATGACGGCAGTTGAACAAATAAAAAACAAATAAAGCATTACTCTCAGAGTTTTCAACCTTAACTGTTCACCCTTGATTGAAAAACAAAATGAAATATTATTAGAAAAACCTAAACTTAAAAGGAAAAACAAATTAAAAAGAAAAACAACTTACTTGGACGTTGGCCCCGGCGTCTCCGTCGTCGTCGCCGCCGCCGCCACTGTTGTCGTCGATGTTACTGTCGTCACCGTTGTTGCCGTCGTCATCGTCGTTGTTGTTTAACCCGGGGTTGGGGTTTCCTAACGCAGCAGCAAGGTTTTGCCTATTTCCCCAGCGGCATCGTTGGAAAACACCCCTATCCCCGCAGTTCTCCTCACTGTCAGGACGGTTGTCACCGTCAGCTAGCTTCCTAGGTCTCCAGTATCCATTCACAGTATCAAACAAAAACATTAACGTCATATATAAATAAAAAACTTCAACTTAAAAGAGAAGAAGGAAACCATCTTGACGTCATTCTCGTCCTGCACATAGGATTTGTCGCGATGGGACGGCTCAAGCTGGTCGTTGTCACCGTCCTTCAGAGCATGCAACTCTTAATTGAGCTATCATGTAACTCTTAATGACATTAAACCCCACAGAATGATTATCCTAAAAGTTGCAAACTTCCAAATTTCCATTTAATAATCAAAAGACCATTATTTCAAAACACATTTACTGCAAAAAATCCAACTTTGTAATTGTAACTAACCTCTCCGCCCAAACACGAGAGATCTCCCGATGATATCAACGACGTATCATGAAACGCCGACCTCCCCAAAACCCTACCATCGCAGGATCAATAAATTTATAAGTCAATCATCATTGTCTTCATCTTTTTCATTTGTCTTTGAAAGCTTGGATTTTGGTCAATCAAATATTAGCATGCAGCGAACGAAAGTATGACATCGGGTGCGAAACGAATCAAAAGTGCAAATTTCCAAGAAATAGAGGAAAGCGGGTACTGACCCATTAGGGTTTCGGATCCAAGGTCATTGTCGGATCCGATGAACCTACGAAGGTTCCGAACCCAAGGCATCGACGACGCCGACGGGATCTTCTTCTGGGCGCCATCCTAGGACCCATCGGCGTCGGTGGACCCCGTTGTCACCGTCGTACATTATCGCTTACGTTGCGCCAGCGGAAAAGTTAGATCTGAGATCGAGGAATTATCACATTAGAGAGAGAGAAGCTAGGGATTTGGGGGCGAATTGGTGAGAAGAGAGAGAAGCTAGGGTTTGGCGAAGGAGGGACTGGAGGACGGCGATGGTGTGGTTGGGGCTTTAAGGTTTGGAGGACAAGGCGAGAGGAAGGGTGGAGGGCTGGAGTTAGGTTTTGAAAAGTTTGGGAGATGATTGAAAAATTAAAGGGTTTGAAAGATGAGGGGGCAAAAATAAAGGTGGAAATATTTTGAGGGTGGGATGCAAAATTTTTGGGAAATTTTCCGTGAGGGATCCACCATCCTAGACGGAAAATTTTCATCTAGGACGGCCTTCCGTCTAGGTTGCCTACCTAGACGGAATTTTCTATCTAGGTTGACGCAACCTAGACGGATTAACCTAGGCGTAAAATTTTCTGTCTAGGTTGGGTCAAACTAGACGGAAAAAATTCCGTCTAGGTTAATCCATCTAGGTTGCTTGATTTTCTATTAGTGTTAATTATGTTCTTATATTGATAGATTTTAATTTTTGGATTTTACTAAAAGTAACTTATGAAAACGAATTTGGGCTTACAAATTTGAAGTTCGGCAATCTTTTAAATGGTTTGGATAATATTGTATGAATATTAATATAATTTATCAAAAATTATATAATACAAAAAACTAATTAATTCATATACATGGGTAAAATATCAAAAATTATATAATACAAAAAACTAATATAATTTATCAAATATTATATAATACAAAAAACTAATTAATTCATATACATGGGTAAAATACATACAGTTAAGATCATACTAAAATTATGTCTCCTTATAATTAATAAATATTTAAATATTCTAAATTAATTATCATATTAGATGACAATAAAAAAATTCAACATATATTTAGCAGTTAAATTAAGCCAAGACCGTTACAAATAAATATTAAGAAAGCAAGATGTAAGATGAGCGTAACTAAATTGCCTAATAAAGAAGGTTTGTCATTATATGCACATGCTACAGTAATCTACCCAGCTCTGTCGACAACAGACTGTCACTCTGTGCCTCGGCGATAGACTGTGGCTCTGGGCTCGACGAGCAGCCTTTGACGGGGTTGTGTCGTCGACAGGTAAGCACCGACTACTATTATAAAATGGCACAACCAAATCCTCTCGACATTGAAGCCTACCTCAGCCTAAGAGTTCTCTTGAAATCCAAAAGATATGAGCGACATCGATGAATCGTGTACCTCGCTGATCTCGTAGCCTTAGCTAGCATCCTCTCGAACCCCTCAAATCCTAAGCCTCCACAAGAAAATCCCAAGCCCGCAAAAGCAAACAAAGTGCAACGCCTTCTCCTGCTTCGAATTTAAGAAGCATGCTCTGAAGGATGGTGACAACGATCAGCCCGAGCCATCTCATCACGGCAAATCAATTGTGCAGGACGAGAATGATGTCGAGATGGTTTTCTTATTCCCTTTCTTTTAAGTTTAAGTTTTGCTTATATATAATGTTAATGTTTTTGTTTGATACTATGAAGGGATGCTAGGGACCTAGGAAGCCAGCTGATGGTGACAATTGCTCTCGCAGTGAGGAGATCCGTGGGGATAAGGGTGTTTTCCAACGGTTCTATCGGGGAAATGGGCAAAACCCTGCTGCTGTGGTAGGAAACCCCACCATGGGGTTAAACGGCGACAACGACAGCGACAATGGCAATGGTGGCGATGGCGGCGGCGCCCGTGATATACCCGGGTCACGGGTCGAGCTGGGTTCACCTCCAGACCCGGGAAGAGAGAAATCGGTCCGGCCCACCTTGACCCGGTCCACCATCAATCCGGCACACCATCAACCTGGCCTGGTCCACAGCTAGCATGTTCTATCTACAATGATTAGAGATATATTAACTCCGCATGCTTCCACGGTCATATCAGAAAATGCCTTTTCATCAGACGAGAGAATTGTTTCCAAATGGAGAACATAACTTACAGCAGCACATGTGGAGATGTGTGCGTTCTTAAAGGACTAGCTCGATGTAGAATAACAGTCATAAGGACAGCAAATAAGACATTTCCTTGAAGAATTTGACGAATATAGCTTGGAGGAATTCGGTTCTTTAAATACTAATGGTTAACATTTTTTCTTTTTTTCCTCTTATAGTTGTAATTTAAATTTAAACTAAAGAAAAGTTATTAACTTCCCGTGGATGTAGGTCTTCCATCGAAGTCTGAACCACATATATCTCTGTTTATGATGTTTTACTCTTTATACAATGTATGTCACTGTGTGTGTATATATATTATTTTAAATAAAGAGTAAAATAAAAAATAATTTAAATTTTATTTAATAGATACAAATATAAAGTTAATAAATAAAAAAAAGTTAAAAAACCCACGGGCCGACCCACGACCCGTGGGTCGTGGGCCGGGTCCGACC